TCAGCGGGTTTGGCTGGTATAGGTATAGCACTGAGTGGCAAGGCCGAGGCGGCACTACTGGACTGGTTCCCGATTAACAGCCGACTATGTGCAGTTCGGCTTCGGGGTTCGTGTAGAATCAACAGGCAACGCGAAGAGAGACGCAACTTGTTTGTGATCTCTGTGTACGCTCCAACTTACTGCAGTAGCGACTCGGTCAAGGACGATTTCTACCGAGATCTACAACAGCTCTTGACTAATGCTAAAAAGTCGGATGTCGTTATCCTTGCTGGGGATTTTAATGCACGGGTTGGCCGCCTGTTACCATACGAACGCCACCTTGGTGGTCATCACGCGCTCGATGAGAACCGCTCTGATAACGGAGAGAGACTTCTCACATTGTGCGATGACAACCGTCTGTTTCTCTCGAGCGCTAGCTTCAGGCGTACGAAGAAGCGTTCCGCAACTTGGCGTCCCCCTTCGCCAACACAACCGTGGTCTCAAATTGATCACATTGCGATTAGCTTCAGATGGCGCGGCAGCCTACTGGACTGCAGGTCCTTTTGGTCCACTTTCGTTGATTCAGATCATGCTCTGGTCTGCGCGAAAATCTGTACGTGTTTTGGAGGATCCCGAAACACGAAGCACCGCAAGATTGATGTAAACAGATTAACTGATTCCTCTGTCCAGAAGAGCTATCAGTCTTCACTAGAATATGCACTCAGTTGCAATCCACCGCGAGAAGTGGAACAACACTGGACTTGTATACGGAAAGCGCTGACCATTTCCGGACAGTCATACTGCGGTCTAACTCGACGTCCTTTGAAGTCTTGGAGCTCTGCTCGTTCTCTGGAGCTGTTCGAACGCCGCAAAGATATCTCCGCGGAATCAGATTGCAACGAGCGGCGCCGTTCTACCAACCGGCTGCTTAAGCAAAGCCTCCGCAAGGATCGCGAGACATGGTGGTCTGAGCGTGCTTTAGAGATGGAGACTGCTGCCCTCTCTGGTAACACTCGCAGGCTTTTCCAACTCATTCGGTCCACTGGCCTCAGGAAGCCTGGTGTCAGTGAGGTCATTTGTGAGGTGGATGAGTCTCCGATCACCAACCAACAGAGGCGTATGGACCGCTGGGCCGAGCACTTTCACTCGCAGTTCAACTGGCCTCCACCATCCATCAGTACATGCAGTACACCTTGCTGTCCACCTTGGCTAGTCCCATTGAATCCACCCAGCGAAGCAGAAGTCTACCTCGAGATTCGACGCTTGAAGCGCTTCAAGGCTGCCGGCTTAGACGGACTTCCTCCGGAGCTATTCAAGTATGGCGGTGTGGCAGTCATTAACCAGCTAACCGCGCTGTTCGCAAAAATTTGGCATGAAGGGAAAGTGCCTCCCTCTTGTGGCGAATCAGTTATTGTCCCAATTTTCAAGAAAGGCGCTCGCACTTCATGTGCAAATCATCGCGGGATTAGTCTTATTTCGGTTGCCTCTAAGCTGTTGGCATCCATTCTACTTCGTAGACTATCCCCAGTACGTGAATCGTACTACCGTGAAGAACAAGCTGGTTGCTGTCCTGGCCGCGGATGCGTGGATCAAATCTTCACGCTCCGCCAACTCCTTGAACATCGCCACATTTATCACAGGCCCACTATCGTTGCATTCCTAGACATACGTGCCGCTTTTGACTCCGTTGATCGACCTGCTTTATGGCGTTGCTTACTAAAGAACGGGGTGCCAGAGAAATATATCGCCATCTTACGAGCACTTTACCTTCACACATCCGGCAGAGTGAGGGTCTATGGCAAGCTTTCCTCGCAATTTGTTGTCAATAGCGGTGTGCGACAGGGCTGCCCTATGTCCCCATTCCTCTTCAACTTCGCAATCGAAGACGTTCTGTCGAATGTCCTAGAAGGTTTCCAACATTTTGGCCTAGAGCTTCTACCGGGTGAGCGCGCGACCGACTTATATTATGCTGATGATATCGCCTTACTTAGTGACGATCCTCAGGGTATGCAACTCATTCTGGATCGTTTGGCGGTTGAAGCATCTAAGTATGACATGAGCTTCGCCCCATCGAAGTGTAAAGTACTGCTCAAGGATTGGCTTTCACCTGCACCCGTGCTCACTCTCCAAGGTGCACAACTTGAACAGGTAGATAGTTTCGTCTATCTTGGGAGCTGTTTTTCCGCTGACGGCACAATCAACAAAGAAGTTTCGCTTCGTATCGCTAAAGCTCGATCAGCATTTTTCAATTTGAAGCATTTGTGGCGTCGTCGCGACGTCTCATTCTCACTAAAGGGCCGCGTCTTCAGTGCATCAGTTCGCTCAATATTGTTGTATGGGTGCGAGTCCTGGCCGATTCGCGTGGAAGACATGCGTCGTCTTTCTGCGTTCGATAACGGTTGCTTAAGGAGGATCGCTCGTGTTCGGTGGCAACATCGAGTTACCAGTAATGACGTTCGACGTCGCGTCTTGGGGAATGCAAGTATTTCCTTCAACAAACTGGTTTTGTTGCGCCAGTTAAGATGGCTCGGTCATGTCCTACGCATGGCACCTGAGCGTCTACCGCGTCGCGCTCTATTCGCTCTTCAAGGACCTGGCTGGAAGCGAACGCGTGGTGGTCAGCCTTCCACTTGGCGGCAGCACATGAAATCGCTGACGTTGTGTCTAGCCGCTGTTGGACCCGTACGTCTTCCAGGATGGGGACCCAAAGATGGGGAGTGCCAATGGCTTAGGACACTTGAAGACATGGCCCGCAACCGGAATCAATGGAAGAATTGTGTACAGTGTTGTGTTGATTCACATGTTTAATTCTACAAACATTGAAAATGACAAAAAAAGAGAAAAATCGGCGTGTGGCAAACAAAATAAAAATGTTTTGTTCTGTATTTTTGTCAAAATATTCCATTTTCTTGCGGCATATTAACTGAAGTGTGTTGCCCACCTTCAGCTAGCATGCCACGACGATTATGACGCAATGACTGTCTCTTATACACTGATTTCCATGGCTTTCTTGGCTCTATGTCTAGTTACTAGACTGTTGAGATTACATACATACATACATTCATTTCAAATGAGTCCTTAATGCTGTGCAAATTGAAGTGCTGCCTCAGTGGCGCAAAGATTCGAACTAATCAGTGAGCGATTTTGTGCTGCGGGGAATTTACCATCGACAAAATGGGTCTTAGTGGCATGCCCTGCTTGTGAGTTTTTGGTAACCCCTGTAGCTGTGTTGTCGATGAACCGCTTGGCTTCAGGTGTTTGTAGGTGGTTTCGTCAATTACACGACGTAGGAGAAGCGTTTCTTGGGTAGGTTACTATCAGATTGCCCAGGCTTCGACAGCAGAACGATTAGAGTTCTTAGCCAAAGCCTTTGGTTCAAAAGCCTGACCTCAAGCAGCGGTGTCCAGCACTGGACTGCCCAACCTTGAGAAGTTTGTCTGACCTCTAACTATTGACCAATCTGGTATAAAGGGCTCTGAAGGTGCAAAAGACACCTCCCAGCATTGCTCATTGGATCGCTGATGCTTACAAACCATCGCACTATATTAACGCCTAGTCTCGCCGCGATGTGTATTTGAAAGCCACGTTGGTGAAATTCTTAAATCTCTATACCTTGACTCTGCGGTCATGTACGATTACACATGAGGTTGGCCTTCTGTTTCATCGCATTAAGTGACGCACGCAGCTCTATCCAGACGTATCCTATTCTTTTCAACATTGTGCTGTTAATCCATATGAGTGATTTTCTCCTCTCCGTTTCTTCTAACGTGGAAGTTGTGCCCCTTTGCGTATTGACAAACTTAGACTTTGCCGACGACATAGTTCTGTATGGTTCGGATTCGTCTACTGTGTTTAGCCGTGCCGCACAGACTGGAGCAGAGCAGTGCACCTTCCAGCATGCGCTTCACAGCCTTCTAGCGTAGGGTACTGTTACAGGACTGGATCAGGATTATCAGCATTTACCATCCGCGGCAAAGCATTCGAAATGATCAGTCGACTCACTAATCTCTAGCTGTATGGAGATTCTGGTTCGGACACCAACTGGTAGGTTACTGCGTGCATCGGTAGGGTTCGCGTGACCTTTCAGCATCGTAGCCACTTCATAATCCAGTAGTATATTGGCTTATTGGTTTAGGATACAGTTTACAAAGCCAGTATGCGCACTACACTTCTAGATATTTATTAACTCGCTGTGTTTAATCACGGTTGCATACGTAATATTGCTCTTATTTGGTGGGCATATGAAATGAATGGTACTGAGGTTTGCCGTTTGATATTTTGGTGACGGGCACCCTAGGACCACATTAGTGTTGTTGAACTTTGACCGCTTACGGTTAACAATTTGGGTTCTTCGTTCTCTCCGATGAGTATTGTTGACAAATATCGAAAAGTAAACTGAGATCGGCACCTCGAGCTTAGTGGTTAGACATCCTATCGGATACGATACCGTCATAGAGTCAGTGACGCTTTTTCATCAGCTGCTGTGCCCCTGGATCCTAACTGTACCATCCTGTGTTCTTTTGCTCCGTTTGCAACCAGTAATCTTTTTCTCATCTTTCTCCTGTTTTACTGCGTTGTCAATTAATACAATCATCTCTGCTTTTCGGCTCACAATAGTTAGTCGATCACTTGACCTGAAATGTCTCAGTGAACCTCCCAAACAACCCCAGCACCATTTACCTGTAAATTCCTTTTTACTGACCTTCATTGTGGGTTTACCCTTCGTTGTTTGGTCAGAATCAGTTTGTCGGATGTTTTTTAAGAGTCCTACATCGAAGTTTAGTTGTTCCACTTGCCGGAACCACAGAGCACTCTGAAGTTTCCATGCCCCTATTATCCTTGTTCCACATTGATACCTAATCACTTCGCAAACCGTTACCACATTTACTATTTTCAGTCCTGCTCGTCTGCGAGAACTAGACCTGGACGCGTTTGCTGAGGAGCTGAAACGACAGGATCACGGAGACAAACATATAACATTGTACGATATAAGAAAGGAGCTAAATACTCGCTACAGAGACTATCGGACAGCCTATCAGTCGGCTAACCCAGAGCAAATTTTTAGCATGGTAACACATGAGACTCCGGAGACATTTCACGTTGGTCGACTTATCGAATGTCGCGTGGTTTCAGTGGCTACACGTCGTCCTCGCCGTGAACAGCTGGATAACGCTAACCCAACAAAGAATGAAATTAACGGTCTATGGATGTGCCCTTTTTGCCGTCGGGATAACTTTCAGTTTCTCAATCACGTGAGTCCCACATTTCAGTCCACTTTTTGAGCTTTTCTTTTTAATTTAGCGGTATACTACAAATCCCTTAGACTAAAGCGGCTTGTTCATGTGTTTCTATTGCTCATTCCTGTCGACCTTGTGCGAATGTCAATATGGTCCGTTTTTGCATTTCAATGAAACAAAAAGAGGTTGTGAAGCTCATGTTTTACTCATTAGTGGCAATGCACCTCCTTATTACTGTCTTTCGGTCTAACAGCTGCCACGTGCCCCACTGTTCTGTTCACTGCAGTGATGAACTGTGAACCTTGCACCGAAGTAGTAGCAGTCGAATCAACGGTCTAATAACTAGTCATAGAGGCAAACAAAATCATAAAATTAAGCGAATGACAGGTGGAATCGCCGAAGTGTCATAATTATGGAACATTAATTGAAAGTGAGCAACACACTTCACCTGTTATGCCGCAATAAGAATGGAACGGCTTAGGAGTAGCGGTCACAACTAACATCCGAATGGTCCCAGGTTCGATGTGGGCTGTCTCTATCTTATGAGATAAAATAACATCGAAACTGATCATAGGAATGCAGTGTTTTCGGGTGAGCAACACCTAATTTCTATCCGTAACCATTTTTGTTATTTTTTACGTTCCATTATTTGGTTGTTTTTTTTAATATTTTTTATTTGCTAGGCATTAAGTGTCTAAATCTAAACAATTGTGCACACAGATCTTCCACAGGTTTTGATTGTGCGCCGTGTCCTGAATTGTTTCGAGCCATCGGCACTCTTCGTCCTTAGGTCCGCAACCGGGCAGGCGTGTGGATCCAACGGCAGCAAGACGTCAAGTCGATGATTTCATATGCTGTCGCGAAGCGGATGGTTGGCCAGTGCGTGGTCTCTTCCAGTCGAGCCTTGCTCGAGCGAACGGAGCGCGATAGCGCAAGCGCTCAGCTGACATACGCAGAACGTGACCGAGCCATCTTAACTGGCAGAGTAAAACTAGCTTGTTGAAGGGAAATTCGCAATCCTTCAGACACGACGTCTGACTTCACCATTGAAAGTACCTTGCTGCCATCGCATACGAGAAATTCCCCTCAAGCACCCATTATCGAAAGCCGAGAGTCGGTGCATGTCATCTACGCGAACTGGCCACGACTCTGCCATATAGCAAGACCGCCCGAACGGCGGCATTGTAAACACAACCCTTTACCAAGAGGGAGACGTCCAGACGGCGCCACAAGTGTTGCAGGTTGACGGACACAGACCGGGCCTTGGCGATACGGAGAGATTTAAAACAGTTAGTTCCCTTTGGTAACTTGAAAAGCACAATTAGAAGACGAAGTTCGGCAGATGCATGCATTTCGTATCGTCTCATCAGTGCCGATAACGATAACCGGAGAGAAGTTTCCTTCCTCATGGCGCCACCAGTAGACATGTAGTTGCCCAGGTATAAAAAGCTATCAACATGTCCAAGCTGTTTGCCTTCAGAAGTGAGCACGGGAACGGGAGAGTGCCAATCCTGGAGCAGCACTTTGCATTTCGACGGGACGAAGCACATTCCGTACTTAGATGCCTCAATCGCCAAACGCTTTAGAATGGTTTACATATTCTTCGAGTCGTCACCAAATCGGGTGATGTCATCAATATACTCTAAGTCGGTCACTCGCTTTCCCCGTAGCAGTTGCGGACCAAAATGTTGGTAACCTTCCAGAGCTCTCGACAGGACGGGAGTGTAGGATAGCTCTCTCGTACACCGTTATTGACAGCGAAAAACGAAGAAGGCTTGCTATAGACCCCCATTCTGCCGGAGACGTGGAGATAGGGTGCACGCAGAATGGTAGTGTACTTTTCTGGGACCCTAATCCTTAGCAAGAAACGCCATAGCACAGGTCGATCAACCGAGTCGAATACGGCACGGATGTTTTAAGTATGCAACGATGGTAGATGTGTCGATGTTCGAGGAATTTGGCGTGACTATTTGATCTACACGCCCACGACCAAGTCGGAAGCCAGCTTGTTCGTCCCGGAACTGTGATTCACGATTCGGGAATAGTCTACGAAGTTGAACGGGTACCAATAGCTTGGAGGCAACTGGACAGAGATTAATCCCTTGATGATTAGCGCATAAAGTGCATGCACCCTTCTTAAAAATCGGAAGAATAACTGACTCGCCCGAAGAGGAAGATACTTTTTCTTCAAGCCAGATTTTGGAGAACGAAGTTAGCTGACTGGTGATAACTGCGCCACCATAGTTGAACAGCTCCGGAGGAAGTCCATTTGAACCAGTGTCATTAAATCGCTTCAAAAGACCTAATCGTAAGACACACTTTTTCACTGGGTCACCGGTTCCCATTGGCACGATTCTCCGAATTCGCCCCGCTGCATTGCGGGTAGGCTGTTGAGCCAAAGGCTCGGGGTGGTATCCCCCAAATCAACCCCCTACATCGGCCTGCGCAGCCGGGTAGTATCGCGCCGTCTGCAAAAACCATGAATCACGACACAGTTTCATATTCTCTCGCTCCTGCCTACTTCGCTTCTGATCAAGCTTCATCGCACGCTCACCATTTTTCTGTTAATAATTCCTGTTTCCCTCGACTTGACCCCGCCACCGGTTTCTCTACTTCCTATTATGTCTTGTCTGAGGCTATTCTTCGACCAGCTCTTCGTTTCGGCTGACAACCCTCAATGTCCGGACGCTTATGCAGATTGGGCATCAGGCCGGCCTTACACGTATTCTGAGTACCATCGCCATTAATAGCTGCTGCCTTTCCGAAACACAATTGTAGGACCCAAGCACTGTGCTCAAGTTGAAATTTCCCAGCAGCCAGGAAGCCACATACCGCTTACTTTTATCTAGCGACCCAGAAACTACTTCTGTTGACTTGAGCTGCGTTAGCGTGGAATTAAACATTAAGCCGAGGCTGCACTCCTTGATTGGTTCCCAGTAAACTGCCGACTATGCGCAGTTCGCATCCAAGGGTCATGCAGAATTAACAGACATCGAGCTAAAAGACGCAATCTATTTGTAGCTTCTGCTTACGCACCAACAGATTGTAGCTCTGAACTGAACAAATACATTTTTTACTACCAACTTCATCAGCTATTAAGCAAAGCCGCCAAGTCGGACGTCCTTGTCCTCGCCGGTGATTTCAATGTACGTATCCGTTGGTGAATATCACCTGGGTGGTCATCATGCACTGAACGAAAATCGTTCAGATAACGGAACCAACCTTCTCAATTTGTGCGAAGACAACAGTCTGTTTCTCTCAAACACAAACTTCATACACTCAAAGAGATGATCTGCCATCTTGGCATCCTTCTTCACTGGTGCAGGCCTAGTCCCAAATAGACCAGTTTCAGGTGGCGTAGTAGCATACAAGATTGTAGGTTTTTTTGGTCTACCTACCTCGATTCAGATCACGCACTGGTCTGTGTCAACATTTTCTTGCGAATCGGAGGAAATCAGAAAGATAGGCTATACTAGCTTGATACGAACAGGTTAGCTGGTCAGTCGGCTCAGTTAGACAATCAACTGTCACTGGCAAGCACACTAGCCTGTTTGCCGCCTACCGGTATTGAACATCACTGGACGTTATTGCAGCAAGCAATGCTAACTTCAGGCCAATCAGTCTGTGGGTTTTCTCACCATCCGCTGAAGGGTTGAATGTCCGCGCGCTGCCTGGCACTGTTCGACCGCCGCCGAACTCTCTCAGTAAACCCAGACCAGAATGAAGTTGCGGCATTATCAGCAGACAACTCAAACTAAGATTTCACAGTGATCGGGAGGTTTGGTGGTCCCGACACCATTGGAGATGGCGGCGACCGCCCTCACTGGAAATACCCGCAAATTGTTTCAGCTAATTCGGACCACTGGACACTGGAGGTCTGGTATCATCGAGGTTGTCCTTGAGGCGGACGGGTCACAGATCACTAGTTTGCAGAGACGCATGGACAGATGGGCTGAGCACTTCGTCTCAGTTCAGTTGTTCCTCTCCACTCACGTTTACATTCAGTACTCCCGGTCGTGTGCCATGGTTAGTCCCACTCTAACTACCAACCGAAGCAGAGGTTTGTCTTGTCACTTGAATCGCTTCAAGGCGGTTGGCTCAGATGAACTTCCCTTATAGTTGTTCAGATACGGCGGTACAATAGTCATCAAGCAACTAACGTCCCTGTTTCTGAAAATCTGGCAGGAAGAAAAGGTCCCTCTCCTAGGGAGAGTCAGTGGTCGCGCGGCAGCGAAGCGCCGTTAAGATATACAGCTGACACACTACTACTACTACTACTACTACTACTACTATCCAAACTACTATCATCTATCTTGCTCCGCAGTCTACTCCCGCTCCTGAGTCACACTACCTGGAGGAGCAGGCTGGTTTTCGCCAGCGCCAGGGTTCTGTCACCAAACGGCGGCGTTTTTCCCCGTGCTCCTACCTACCGGGAACAATGCTCCACGAGCACCAGGGATCAAAAACTGCCAGTATCTTTACGTCCTCAGCGCGCAGTAGCCATGTCCTTGTTCCATACCGTAACGCAGGCAGCTATGTACATCCTACTTTTGACTGCCGGTCTGTAGCTTTAATGGTCACAAGTCTGCCTTGTAATCCGAGGGTGCGGGTTTGAACTTGTCTAGGGACCGGGCGACCCACGCTGTATCCTTAGCCCACTTGCGACTGGTAGTGGTTGCGTGGCAGCGAAGGATCGATACTGCGTACCGGTGCACTTCTGACGCCTGCTTTCCTCTTTTCACTGATCGGCTGATGTTCCACCTTTTCATGGATTTCTGAGGCTTTGAAATTACCCGAGCCTGATTGATATAACCCCCAGAGGTGATTCAACTACCAAGGTAAGTGGATCGACCCACCTCTTCGACTAATTGTTCGTTGATAGTTAAACCAGTGTCATGTCTACCAAGCTCTGAAATAGCGTCTTGAGTTGTGAAAGTTCAAACGACACGCCGAGGCGTGCAGCGTGCTATGTCCATCTACCCAGAAGCTAGTGTACAAAAGTGGGTGTTTGACGC